TTTTCATTAATACAAACATTGTTTTACAAATCAGTGTTTAAATAAAAAAAATGCCATTATTGCTTTTGTAATTGTATTTTCCCTTCCAACGTAAAATACAACTTAAGTTTATCAAAATAAGAGCTTTGGACAATTAAGAATGTCCGAATGTTTAAAATTATTTATTATTATCAGTAATCAGTAATCATCCTACATCCACAAATACATAAAATGTGGGCGATGCATTAAAGAAAATTATGCTTTTTAATGCGCAAAGTTAGCTACCATCTGATAATTGACAGATTTAAATTTTGACAAAAGAAAAAATACGCGAAAAAGTAAAAGTAAATTATTAGTGGATTATCAAAGCACAGGTGTTGCACACGTAAAGTTAGCTGACAAGACTAAACTATTCGGCATTAAAATGGATCTAGCTAAAGAAAAAGGTTTTTATTCTTATACTTTAAAAATCAGGGATGAGGATTAACAAAAGCAAAACAAATATTTTTCTATGACCCCCACACAATTTCGTAATGGCATCGTTGCTTAGAAAATGCATTTTTTTACAACAGCTCGATTTCTTTGAATTTGCCTGATTTCATTAAAATTTGAATTGCATTTTTATTGGTACGTTTGTCTAAATATCATTTAGAACACAATTAATTGTGTTTTTATAATAAAATATAATGTTTAAATCAAAATTTATTTGGGACTAGATCAGATTACATACTTTAAGGGCGTGTCTCTAAAGTTACAAGATGTTTTTGTAATAAAAAGTAATGGAACATAATATGGGTGGTCTTTTTATTTAAAAGGCATTTTAGATTTACAAGATGTTTTTGTAATAAAAAGTAATGGAACATAATATGGGTGGTCTTTTTATTTAAAAGGCAATTTAGATTTAGCCATAAAATTTAATTAAAAAAGTTACAAGGTATTTTTGTAATAAAAAGTAATGTTTCCCTAATATGGGTGGTCTTTAGTTTTGGCTTAAAAGTTAATTAATACCTTAATATTTCAAAAATATTCCGAGTTATTTTTGCCTATTATTTTACCCTATTTTCTAATGTAGCCAATGGTTTTTACCATATATATATATATATATATATATATATATATATATATATATATATATATATATATATATATATATATATATATATATATATATATATATATTAGGGCAATATAAATATCTGTTTTATAAAAAAAACCTTAGTTGAAAATTATTAGTGCGTATTCGATAAATATAAAGTTTTATTAAAAACAAACACGTTGACCTCTTCACCAGCAAAATTTAGTGTTTTATGCAGACAGAAGATCAACACATTATATCCAGATATACTGAATTTTAAGTTTTCAACTTTGGATCTTCCTGATGTGCGCATTGCGAAATTACTGACTTCGCGTATGGATGATGGTATACAGGCGTATCCATTAATAAACAAACCACCTCGCAAAGAAGATTTTAGGATGCAGAGGCTGAGAGACAATTGGCGACCTAGATCTTTAAAAGCTTTCTGGGGACGCCGTAATAATATAGAGAGCATTACAAGAATTTTAAAGTTTTTCTTTGTGACCGACAGAAAGTTCGTTACAAATTATGGTAACATATGTGCCACTTGTTACAACAATTAGAGTTATTAAATAAGTTTAATTATTTTGTTTATGCTAGTATAGGATATAAGCTTAGAGTATCTTTTAATAGATTTTATAATTAAATATTAAAAAATATGAATGTGTACCTATTTGTATTTATTGAATATAATATATATTTTTATATATATATATATACATATATATTTATTTTTAGGATGGTTTAAACTCTGTTAAAAATAGAGGTGTGAGGGATGAAGATAGAGTTGGAGTGGTGTTCACCAACGCAGAGTTTCCATATCGCCCCTTGGCAATTAGTTTAAGAAAAAGGAGTCAAATAACGGCCTCACTGATTTTGGATACTCTGGGCAAGGTTCTACAGAGCAACGCTAGTTTTTTTACCAACAATCGACCAACTCTATCAATCGATAGGGTTCAGTTACCGGTGGGACGTGGCAGGACGGCTTTGAAGGGCGACACGTACGAGCAATTCTGCAAAAATAAGGACAATCATTGTCTCGCCTATGCTTTAGCGTTAGGTATAGCCTATCATAAAGACCGAACCGATTTAAAAAAAAATAATTTAAAACTTTTTTTGAAAGTACGCGGAAGAGAATTATGTATTGCTTTTGACGTGAATCTCTCAAATGGAGGGAGTCTTGAACATGTTTAACGTTTTCAAGATAATTTAGAAGCCTTTTCGATTGTTGTGTACAATAACTCTGAACACTGAAACATATTTTGAAGGGCCTCGAAGTGAAACGCGTAAAACAATAAATTTAATTTTAGAAGACAATCATTATAACCTCATATTAAGTTTAACTCCAGCGTTTTCAACCGTGTACTTTTTAGAATCATGTAAAAAAAGTTTTAGTAATAAAGAAAGGCATGTTAAATGTCCCTATACATGCCCTAACTGTCATAGTAAGCCTCCATGTACTTCCGAGGTAGAGGAGATAAACTGTGAAGATTGCCATAGAACATTTAAAGGTATCGCGTATTTATACGCATAAGGACAAACTTTGTTCGAAACTACATGAAACCTGTGTGTCATAATTGTTAAATACAACCAAATCGTATAAGTGATAAAGTAAAAAAATCGCTCGAGAACAATTTTTTGTTTCTCTTTTAGGACTTTGAGTTCATGCAGGAAAAAGAATTATCCAGTAATATATTTTTACATGAACCAAACTTATGTGTAGAACAGCAAGTTTGTTCGAATTGTATAAAGGTTGATGACATAGATTAAGATTGTAATAAGTGTGGCAAACGAAAGCATGTTTTTTCAGAAGATCTTGTCGAGTCACTTTTGAATTTTCTACACGAATTCGAAAAGAATTTAATGCACACAAGCTGAAAAGTTTAATAAAGAAACTTGTTTTTAAAAATGTAAATAGGTGGAACCCTACCATTGTGAGAAACGGTTGTAAATTTGTTTCGATAACTTGCAATAAAATTAAATTTATTGATAGCTTAAATTATATGCCACTGCCACTAAATAAATTTCCAAGTGCGTTTAAATTTAACGAAGTAAAAGGGATATTTTCCACATTTATTTAATAGACGCGAAAATATTAATTATGTAGGTTCTTTACCTGATCCTTCTTTTTTATGCCTGATTCAATGCTCGAAATAAATTTTTCGAATGGTATAATAAGCAAATATCGAATAAGGTTGTATTTAATTTAAAAGATGAATTAATTAAACACTGCATCTTAGATTTTGATATTTTAATATTAATTTAAAATTGTAGGGAATATAAATAATAAAGTTTTTATTCTGGTAAATAAATTATTTTAAGTTTCCCTTTCTCTAGCGCACCTTCATCCCCTACCTGTATTGGATAAATTTTTTAAAGTGGGTGTAAATATATTTACTATTTTACATTTTTCTATTTTACGCTGAAGACTTTTTTATTATCATGGATAGAGCACGGGCATATTTGATTGTGAAGACGAGGAAATCTAGTGTAGTTGAAGACAATACGCACCGGCCTAAAACTTTGAAAACATTGTGTAGGGAGGTTATCAATGCTAAAATAAATACTTGTGAAGTGTTTGAAGCTAAACTAAGTGAAACAGTTGTTAACGAGGTGTTTCAAAACCGGGTTCAAGACTTCGCCATGAGTTTTGATTTGGACGACTCTGTTATTTAGAAATATATTCGGCCCCATAACCGACTTTTGGGGTGAAGAAGCTTTGAGGCGGTTTTGGGGGTTTAGGAGTGATGGGGTTATGATCAAATCCATATTCGGATCGTTATTACCGGCCGCAGAGCAATTCTGCGTTACAGATAAGTTCTACCATACGACCTATGGTAGAGTGTGCGAACAATGCGTACAGCAGAATTGCCTGAAAAGGGTTTCGGAATTTCGTATTCAAATGTTCAGCAGGAATCATATCCCTATGCTATTAAGCGATTTCATGACAATTCATGAAAGAAACAATTAATTGTGCGTCGTAGAAACTTAAAAAACATGCAAATAATCCAACATTGGACCAGAAAAGCGTTAAAAATGTTATGGGGCCTTAGGACTAGTAGGCATGATATACGTCCTATAATAGAATTATTCCTTCACTATAGCAGGCAGTACTGTACAACCAACAAATATTATTCGACAACTTATGGGAATATGTGCGAATATTGTTGGGATGATGAAAGCTACGAACTAAAATTTTTTAACATATATGAATGTGTAACTACTCACAGACATGAAATAGAGTTTGAGGACCTATTAAATGCAATTCTTAGCAAGCAAAACTGGTGCAATTTTTGCACTAGGCGAGTGCTATTCTTTATTAACCGCGCGAGTATATGCCATATGTATTCCGAATATATTCCGAACATTAAGAATGGGTGCGTCAGCGATTCCAGCTATTACGATAGTGATACCGATAATATGGATACCGGCGATGAAATGATATGAACTGTTTTTATATTTATATATATGTATAGCTAGTGATATATAGTGATATGTTAGAAGGAGATCAACCAACTTTTCATCTTGTTAGTTTATGTTACTATAAAATATTAAAACATCTTAGAACTACAGAGTATGAATTTGAATGTCTTATTCGACGTTGTACGATCTGGTATATGCCATTTTTTTAGCATACAGTCCTGGGAAATTACAGACGCTAGCGATAGCGATACACAGGACAATGCGAATATATGAACTGTTTTTTTTGTATATTTAGATTATTTAATTAATTTTGTTCTTAAATATAATTAATTTTTGTATAATTTGTAATATATATTTTAGGTTTAATTTTTTATTTTAGGTTAAATTATATATTTGTCTTTTTTAAGCTTCCCTGTATTTGATATACTTTTTAGTTGTGTGGAAAAAGCTATAAAAGCTTTATTTTTAAAACATTAACCATTTTATATTTTTCAATATTACACTGAAGACTTTTTTTATTATCATGGATCTAGTTTGGGCATCTTTGATTCGTAATACGAGGAAATCTAGTGTAGTTGAAGACAATACGCACCAACCTAAAACTTTGAAAACATTGTGTAGGGAGGTTATCAATGCTAAAATAAATACTTGTGAAGTGTTTGAAGCTAAACTAAGTGAAACAGTTGTTAACGAGGTGTTTCAAAACCGGGTTCAAGACTTCGCCATGAGTTTTGATTTGGACGACTCTGTGTTATTTAGAAATATATTCGGCCCCATAACCGACTTTTGGGGTGAAGAAGCTTTGAGGCGGTTTTGGGGGTTTAGGAGTGATGGGGTTATGATCGAATCCATATTCGGATCGTTATTACCGGCCGCAGAGCAATTCTGCGTTACAGATAATTTCTACCATACGACCTATGGTAGAGTGTGCGAACAATGCGTACAGCAGAATTGCCTGAAAAGGGTTCCGGAATTTCGAATTAAAATGTTCAGCAGGAATTATATCCCTATGCTATTAAGCGAAATAAGCGATTTGGTTCTGCACCCCGACAGCTGGTGCAATTTTTGTACCAGGCGTCTCTTCGTCGACATAGTGCCATCGAATAGATGCCACATGGCATATGTCGTAGACGGGGACCCTGACCCGTGTGAAGAAATCCACCCAGCAGAAGGGCCGAAGAGGACCAAGACGTTGATGATGGTTTTGAAGAATGGCAATAATAGTTTAAATATATGTTTTAGTTACAAATATTCCTTCCAAGAGGCCACAACGATAGATAGGGTATGCAATAAGGTAATTAGGAATTATTCCTCCTAAAGGTTCCGGAGGTAATACTCCCCTCGCTCCGCACCTGACAAGAGACGTCTCCCGGGGCTAACCAGCAGGAACTGGTCATGGCGCCCGAGCACCGGACTTGGACCCCGGACAAGTCCACCCTACACCTAGATTACCCAGGGCGGACTTGGTAGTGTTGCTCGAGGAGCTGGCAATCGGACTCAAGGAGGTGCCGATGCAACGCGTGGTATTTCCGACCTACCAAGGGGAGGACCACGATAATCCGCAGTTTTTCCTGCGGAAGATGGAGGAGACCCTGAAGAAGAGGCGGATCCCCACGGAGGAGTGGGCCTTCCACGCCCTGGGCCAGATCAAAGGCACCCAGGAACAACCCCTATAGAATATTTTTTTTGTATTTAAGTAAAAAAACTTAAAAAATCGTTTAAAAAAATTTTTTTTTGAAACGCTAATAATACAAATAATAATAATGGATATTGCATACCAAACTGTGAGTGCTAAGTCTAGCAAATTTGGTGTGGTGGCTGACGGAGTGCATAATCCAAAAACATTAAAAAGTTTGGCTAGACAGGTGCTAAACGAGAAATGCAGTGTGGAGGACATTGCAAAAGTGGAGTTACCGAGGACTCTAGTGCAAAATATATTCCGAAACAGAATGCTGGACTTTATACTAGGCTTCCCCTTGGTTGCTACCTTTTTACTTCGGGACCTGTTTGGCCCGATTACGGACCAGTGGCGTGAGGATGCGGTGAAGTGTTTCTGGGGCTACAGGGACAATAGGGTGGAAATTCAACGTATAATTATTTCAATATTGCCCAACGACCTGGACTTTTGTGTGCATTATAAATATTATGATACCTCGCTTGGAAGGATCTGCGATTTGTGTATGCGGAAGGAATGCATACGCAAATTTGCAGATTTTCAGATGAATGAGTATGTAAAAGAACATGCTTTCAGACAAGTAGAGGAGCTAGTTGACATTTTCTTGCACCTCCAGAGCTGGTGCGTTTCTTGCACGAGGGGCCTCCTATTTTATAATGGATGTAAATAAATAAATGAATAAATAAATAAATATTGCAATATCAAACTGTTAGTGCTGTCCAGCAAGTGTAGTGTGTTGGTTAACGGATTGCATAATCCGAAAACTTTAAAGAGTTTGGCTAGGCAGGTACTGAACGAAAAATGCAGTGTGGAGGAAATAATCGTGTGGTGATTCAACGTATAATACTTTCAATATTGCCCAACTCCATGGACTTTTGTGTGCATTACAAATTCTGCGATTTGTGTATGCGGAAGGAATGCATACGCAAATTTGCAGATTTTCAGATGAATGAGTATGTAAAAGAACAGCAAATGTTTTCAAGACTTGAGACCATTAAAGCCAAGCACAAAAAAATTGAAAAAGCTGGGTATAATTTGATAACACGTAAGAATTAGAGACGACGGGTATAATTTTGTAACGATTAGAGAGTGCGATTTTCAAGAGATGTTGAGAAATGTTGATGAATTAAGAGCTATTGTCAATAATAATTCGTATTCGATAAATATAAATTTTATTAAAAAACAAAACGATGACCTCTTCGCCAGCAAAGTTAAGTGTTTTATGCAGACAGAAGATCAACACAATGTGTCCACATATAGCGATTTTTAACTTTAACACTTCGGTTCTTCCTGATGGGCTCATTGCGGAATTACTGACTTCGCGTATGGATGATGGTATACAGGCGTATCCATTAATAGACAGACCACCTCGCGAAGAAGTTTTTAGGCTGCAGAGTCTGAGAGGACGTTGGCGACCTATATGTTTAAAAGCTTTCTGGGGACGCCGTAATAATGTTGAGAGCATTACAAGAATTTTAAAGTTTTTTTTTTTTAAACGATACTGAATTTCATGTGACGAACAGAAAGTTCGTTACCAATTATGGAAACATATGTGCCGATTGTTACAACAAATGCATAAGGTACATGAATTAAAAAATTTTAGGTGTGTGAAGTGGACTCTTATTTGGATATAAATGAATTACCACATATTTTTTTGCAATCATCCAATTGGTGCAATTTCTGCAGGGAATGTTTATTGTTTGTTGTATACCCGAGAAGATTATATATTGAAGTACATGGTGTTGTGTACTAATATAATAACCATTTAATTTAATTAGAGTTAATAAGATTAATTATTTTGTTTATACTAGTCTAGGATATAAGCTTAAAAAATGTCGTGTAGTTTTATTTATAGTTAGTAAATTAGTTTAAATTATTTTGTTTATACTAATATAGGATATAAGCTTAAAGCATCTTTTAATAGATTTTATAGTTGAATAATAAAAAAATATGAATGTATATACCCAGCTCGCAAAGAAGATTTTAGGATTATGAACATGAACAAATACTGGCCAACTAGAGCTTTGAAAGCTTTCTGGGACGTCGTAATAACATGAAGACCGTTACAAGAATTTTAAAGTTTCTCTTTAAAAGAAATCGTAATTTTTTTTAGACGGAAAAAAAGTTTGTTACAAATTATGGTAACATATGCGCCGTATGTTATTTTAAAAATGTTCAGTGTTTTAAGAATGCCATAGAGCAAACCCGTGTACAACTAGCATATATTTTTCTGCAAGCATCTAATTGGTGCAATTTTTGTAGAGAGTATATATATATTATTAGTTTTTCTATAAATAAACTGTAATGGACCTTAGAATAAGTTTACTTTTCAATTAGTTTAGTTATTGAAAAGGTTGGACTCCGCTAACGCCTGAAAGTATAAAACCCGTAATACAACTTTAAATTTGAAAATAATATTTAATTTCGTTTGCTTAAATAAGTCAACTAAGGAAAGTTTTGCTACAGATCTATGACAACTGGTGATGTCAATACTGATAAACAACCACTTAAGATCTTTTGGAATGCAAAAGGGATCCTTCCAAGTTCAATATTCAGGGGGTGTCAGGGTATAATATGCAAAATTAAATTAGTTAAATTATATAAATAATAAATCGGTAACTTATACGACAATGCTATTACACTGTACTACGAGTACACCCCGTATTATGTTTGCAAGTAGGTATACCTCGCTACGGGATGTCCTTTTGTTAGATAATAAATAAACAGTTTATTGTAAATATTAAAATTTGTTATTTAAATAGTTAGTTAGTTAAATAATGTGAACTTTGTTAGTATTAAGTTAGTAATAGTTTAATTGTTATGTTCAATACAATTGTTGTAATTTAGTTTTAAGTTTTCAGTACCTAATCTTATTATCGGTCAAAAAAACCGAATAGTTGAACTGGAATTTGTATGTATTATTTTCTAAAGTAGTACCGAAGTCGGTACTATACTAATTGTTAAAATATGTTATTGTAAAAACCAATATTTCGGAAAAAAAACCAATCAACCAGTACAAAAGTTGACTAAGGGCACACTTAAAATTATTAGGTATTTGACTGGGATACTAGACGACAAAATTATCTATCCCAAATGTTTTGCCCACTTAAAAATGTTAAAACACTATTTTACCTTAATTTTGCCATGTCACACATATGGTTGACTTTTTCCAACTTTGGGGAAAGACAAAGAACGATATATGAGAGGGGGTTGATCCAAAGTCGCTTAAGCGATTTTGGCAGTCAGTTTCCAGTTCTAGTTGCGTGCGGACGTTTTTCCAAAAACTCCTGTTCTCTAACTCAAACTTGTGTGTAACGCCAGTTGTAGCCATCTTGGTTATTTGAATCCGACGCCGCGACATCGCGCCCTCTATCGGACGAACGCTTCAACTTTGTTTAAATTTCCCGACGCGTGTATGTGCTGCCACCTGCTGGACAATCAATTAATTGCAGTGACATTTAATTTCAAAGTCTATCGCCGTGAGTGCTGACACCTGTTAGTAGTTGTGTAGTAACAGTGAACAAGTAGTTTATTTAAGTTTATTATTAATCATTTGAGGATCGTAATCAACGAGTAGACCAGAAACTACAGGTATGCCAAAACATGTTATCATTGTAATTGTTTTTCCAACGTAAAGAGAGCAAGAGCCATTTCATAAATAATTTCATAAATAAATTAATGAATCGGGAATATCTACCTGCCTACAGCCAGTTAAATCAGGTGACAACACTCTAGTACTACTGATGTAAACTATCCAATTTTCCACCAAATACATACCACATCAGGCATATATTGACAGTATGATCTGCAACGGAAGTCAATATAACATTTTCTTAAAAAAGTATATAGACACCTTGCATTATTAATTGCTTGCATGGACTAAACGCTTGTTGTAAGGCTGTCAATATACTGTTTAATCGCGTTCAATCTGGGAGTGTGATAATATGAAATTGACAATACATCCTGTACCGACTCGGGCGCCAGGTCAACGACCTTGGCAGTTTACTGTTAAAAAAGGGGTATAAAACGAAATATTGGTTTTCGCAGTTGTTTTTGTTCTCTTTAATATAAATAAATAATATGGTTATAAATATTTGTTTGATTGTTTGTCACTATTCCTACTTTATTACGACGAATCTGGGCTAGACGTATTCTTGGCCAAAAGTTAAGGTAAATATAGGTATTAAAAGGGTAAATTAATTAAACACAACGTAGACCGGGTCCTTTCCATTAAGAGCTCGCCATCGGCCTGAAGGAAGTGCCGATGCAACGGGTGGTTTTCCCAACATACCAAGGGGAGGACCACGAAAACCCGCAGTTCTTCCTGCGGAAGATGGAGGAGGCCCTGAAAAAGCGGCGAATTCCCACGGAGGAGTGGGCTTTCCACGCACTGGGCCAAATCAAGGGGGCCCAGGAGCAGGAGTTCCTGTGGTACAGGAGCCAGGAGCTGTCGTGGGAAGATTTCCGAGAAATCTTCTCACAAACCTTTATGGACGAGGAGCGCGTGGCGAAGCTGACGTCCAAGTTTTACGGAGAGCGGCAGCCAGAAGACGAGAACGTCACCCGCTTTATCCAGAGGAAGCGGTCCATGGCCCAGTGGCTGCTGCCCGAAGTGCCGGAGGCGAGCTTGGTGCAGGTTGTGTTTAACCTGCTCCAGCCGCGCCTCAAGTACGTGCTCCGAGCGGAAAACATTGCGGACATGGCAACGCTGACCCGGAGGACCCGCATTACGGAGGCCGACATGCGTGGGTGCGATTTCAACCGCGCCACGGCAATTCGGTTCCGCGCCCAGCCGTCGGAAAACTCCGACCGGAGAAACACGGGGGAGAGTGTGACTCCGAGATAAACACTATAACAGTGAAAGAAAAGACAAGTCCCGTGATAGACATTAAGTGCCGCGGGCAAGTAGGTAGATTAAGTGCGTTGATTGACACAGGTGCGGATATGTCGGTAGTGGCTGCAGAGTACGCGCCGGATTACGTGAAGAAGCAGGCGCGAGTTTTAGCCGTAGGCGGTAACACCGTCGAGATCCTCGGCTACGTCCAACTTCACTTCACGATCCAGGACCGCGCGTACCGGTACACCATGCACGTCGTGCAACGCCTGCCGGTTCCCGTAATACTAGGTATGGACTTCCTCACAGAGCAGCGAGCGCTCGTCGACGTCGCCCGAGGATGCGTCTACCTAGGGAAAGAAGAACGGCAGACGGTATTTTGGAAACCGCGTGCACGGTGCGCCCAGGAGGTGCTCCCGCTTCCCGAACTACCGACCGATATCCCCTAGGAGGCCCTAGGTAAGTATAGGCCCCTCCTAAATAATTTTAAATTCCTTTTTAGTGGAGAAAATCGTTACACCCTAACTTGTTATTTCATACCAATCATCCTAATTTCCCACACGTAAATTAGGAAACAAGTTTTAACGTTTCGTATCCAGAATTTATCGCGACGCGAGTGTTGAAATTTAAACATATGTATATACATATATTAGGTTTTAATTTTTTTTATTTTAGGTTAAATTATACATATATAAATATATATAATATATATATTATATACTCAGCTATGGACACTGTGTATAATTTCATTATTTATATTTTTGTTACAAATTTATATTAACATATTTTTGATTTTTTAGGCTGGGATTGAATCTTTAATTATCCATGGAATGCGAGGATTTGACGACAATGATAGAGTTGGAATGGTTTTTACCAACGCTGAATTTCCGGATAGGCCCCTAGCAATTTCTTTGAGAAAAAGAAGCCAACTGACGACTACTGTCATTCTCAATACTCTGGGGATTGTGCTGCAGAGCAACTCTAGTTTTTTCACAAATAATGAACTTACTTTGTCCATCGACAGGGTACAGATCCCCGCCAGACGTAGAAGGGTTTCTTTGAAAGGAGCAACATTCGTCGAGTTCTGCAGGAAAAAACACGGTATCGTAATTATTAATAATGATGATAACTATTGTTTAGCTTATGCTCTAGAGTTGGGTATAGCATATCGTAGCGATATTACTGATTTTAAAAATCTTTAAAAAAACCTTATCTTTTAAGACAACGCAGTAAAGAATTATGTAAGGCCTGTGACGTGGATCTCTCGACTGGAGGGAGTCTTGAAGACGTTAAAGATTTTCAAGATTTTTTAAAAGAAGATTTTACGATTGTTGTGTACAATAATAAAAGGGGTAGTAAAACTTATTTTAAGGGAGAGCCCAAAGACACGCATAAAACAATAAATTTAATTTTAGAAGATAACCATTATAGTCTTATTTTAAGCTTAACTTCAGCGTGTTCCACTTCATACTTGTAAAAACCGTGTAAAAAACGTTATAGTAATAAAACAGGCCACATTGTCATAGTTCGCCGCCCTGTAGGTCTGATGTAGAAGAGATAACGTGTGAAGATTGTAAACGAACATTTAGAGGTATTGCGTGTTTAAATTTGCATAAGGAGAAACTTTGTTCAAAACTGCATAGATGTTTAAAATGTTTAAATAGTTACTGGACTAAGTATAAGCATAAATGCGGCGACAAATACTGCCGTACGTGTTTATGCTTTACATGCAACCAAATGTTATAAGTGATAAAACTAAAAAATCGCTTGACAACGATTTTTTGTTTGCCTTTTATGACTTTGAGTGCATGCAAGAAAAGGAAGTATCCAGTAATATATTTTTACATGAACCAAACTTGTGTGTAGTTCAACAAGTATGCTCTGAGTGTATATCGAATGATAATATAGACCTGGATTGCAGCAAATGTGGTAAGCGAAAACATATTTTTTCAGAAGTTGAGTCAGTTTTGAATTTGAAAAGAAAAAATTTAATGTTTTTGCTTTAGCACCCAACATGAAAGGCTACGGTGTTTTTTTTATAACGAAACAAATTTTCAATCGATGGAACCCAAAAATCATAAGAAATGGCTGCATTTGTTTTGATTACATGCAATAAAATTAAATTTATTGAATTATATGCCCCTGTCGTTAAATAAACTTCCAAGTGCGTTTAAATTTGATGAAGCCAAGGGATATTTTCCGCACTTATTTAATAGAACGGAAAATAGAAATTATGTAGGCCCTTTTTTATATGCCTGAATCAATGACTTTAGAGGCGCGAGATAATTTTTTTGAATGGTATTATGAGCAAAAATCAAATAATGTAGTGTTTAATTTTAAAAACGAAATAATTAAATATTGTATTTTAGATGTTGATATTTTACGGAAATCGTGTATTAAATTTGGAGAATGTTTTATTGAAGCTACAAATATTGATCCTTTTCAAGAAGCAACCACTATAGCCAGCGTTTGCAATAAGGTATTTAGGAGAAACTTTCTACAACCTAATACTACCATAAGCATTATTACAACTAATGGCTATCGGCTGAATCTCTTAGTTGATGGTTTTTGTGCGACTACTAACATGGTATTCGCGTTTGATGGCTTCTATTTTCATGGTTGTGAAAATTGTTTTCCTCAGCAGACAACCTCTTTTAAAAATCACACACTCAAAAATCAGCAAATGTTTTTAAGACTCGAGGCAACCAAAGGCAAGCACGAAAAAATTAAAGAATGTGGGTATTATTTGGTAAATATTTGGGAGTGTGAATTTCGAAAAGTGTTGAAGGCGTTAGAACGTATGTTAATAATAACTATAAAAAATACCTCCAGCAGCCATTAGCCATAGCTTCTTCGGTGGTAGTACAAATGCCGTAAAACTTTGACTATAATCATACCAACAATGATGACGATAGAGAGGTATAAAAAATGTTTTTTTATAATAATATTAATAAAAAAGCGCATTTATTTAGGTTAGAATATGCCATGTAATCATTATTATTATTATTATTTTAATTTAAAATGTATTCGTTCTTAGATGGACCTAGCAGTTGATACAGAAGAAGAAGAAGAAGAAATTCCTTATTTTATGGATGGATGGACATTGTAATTTATATTTTAATTTATTTTATATTTATTTACTTATTTATATATACAGGGTGTCTCACCAGCGATGGTACCTTAGACGTTTACGGAGAATTTGAAATTTTTATAGCAATTATCGTACAATTTAATCTACCGTTTAAAATTATTTTGAATAAAATTCCTCTTCCGGTTTAACCGAAAGCGACATCAACTTTGTTATTTCCAATAAAACACCCTGTAAATTTTTTTATTATGAAATTGCTGTACCATTCCCTATACCTAAACTTAATAGTTTTCGAGTTAATAATTTTTTTCGTAAAATTTTAACAGTTGCACCTTCATTAAAAATTGCTTATAACTTTTTTGATATTCGGTTTGCTGGTATGCTGTAAGGATTGTTGGAATCTTAAAACATTGTTTTAAAGATTTCATGTCTGAAATTTTCATATTTATGATCAAAAACCAGAGAAAAAAGGTGGTAAATTTGGTTAACTTCAAACATTAATAACTTGTTTATTTTCAATGGAACGGTATGCATGTTCTTACATAATCAAACAGAAAAATGAATTACATTTCGATTAGTTTAACTACTTCCTATACCTAAATAGTAAGGTTTCGGAAATACAAGCAAATTTCTGTAAAAATCCAATATTTTGACATATTTATCTCAGATACCGATGAAATGTCACAACAAATTAGTTATGTCATTGATTGACAGTTGATACATTTCTTAACCAAGTGGTGTTCAAAATTTCCAAAAGCGTTCAAAAATGAATTACTTTTCGATTGGTTTAACCATTTCCTATACCTAAATAGTAAGGTTTCGGAAATACAAGCAAATTTCTGTAAAAATCCAATATTTTGACATATTTATCTCAGATACCGATGAAATGTCACAACAAATTAGTTATGTCATTGATTGACAGTTGATACATTTCTTAACCAAGTGGTGTTCAAAATTTCCAAAAGCGTTCAAAAATTAAGTAAAATGGATAGAAACAACTATTCCAATGAGGTTTTGATGCAAATATTTATTATTCACAGACAATGTAATCAAATAGTAACAAAAACATGCAGAGTATTCAACAACAGGTTCCCAGATTTACCACCACTGAACAAGAGGAAGTTTAGAAGAATAAAACATAATTTTATTAATTTTGGGTCACGACTGAGAGCAGATAGACCAAGACCCAAGCCTGTATGCAATGAAGACAATATTATAAATGTTTTGGCTTATTTTAAAGCACACCCAAATGCCTCTATCAGAAGTGCGGAAGCGGATTTGGGATTAACTCGTGCTTCGGTCCAGAGAATCCTAGACAGCCACGCTAGACTCCCATTTAAATACAACAAAGTTCAAGCCCTAAAAGAAATTGACTTTCAAAATAGGATTCACTTTTGTGAAACCCTTCTAGTGAAGACTCAAGAAGACCCTAACTTTCTCAAAAATATTATTTGGACAGACGAATCAAAATTTACAAGGGATGTGATTTTTGAATAGAAAAAATTAACATTTTTGGGATGATCGAAATCCGTATATGGTTAAAGAAATGTCACATCAACAGAAATTCGGTTTCAATGTTTTTGCCATGCTAAAAGATGATAAAAATTAAATACCACATTTATGATAAGAACTTAAATTCTCAAAAATTCCTGGAAATAATTGAAACAGTTGTGGTTTAGTTTTTGAAGGACCTGCCATTAGCAGAATATGCGACTAGCTGGTTGCAGCTGGATGGAGCACCAGCTCATTGTACTGAAGCAGTGTCAAGGGAGCTGTATAGGTTATTTGATGACCGTTGGCTGAGACGTTTGGGACCGTGGAATTGGCTCTTAAGATCTCCCGATCTCACTCCCTTAGACTTTTATTTGTGGGGAACATTAAAACAAAAAGTCTACAGAACCCCGGTTATAGACAAAGAAGATCTCCGCCAACGGCTCATTAATGCAATCAATGAGCTGGATCCCAGCGAGATAAGGAGGGCCACAACGGAATCTCCCAGGCACCGCATTTTAAAATGTTTGCAAGTCAATGGTCGCCATTTTGAACATTTATTAAAATAGTATTTTGGTTGTTATTTTTTCCATCACATTTTTTATAATTTATAATAATTAAATTGTTTAATTGTTGTTTTCCATTATTTTTAAAATATCTTCTGTATCAACTGTCAATCAATTACATTACTAATTTGTTGTGACATTGCATCGGTATCTGAGATAAATATGTCAAAATATTGCATTTTTACAGAAATTTGCTTGTATTTCCGAAACCTTACTATTTAGGTATAGGGAATGATTATACCAATCGAAATGTAATTCATTTTCCTATTTGATTATGTAAAAACATGCATACCGTTCCATTGAAAATAAACAAGTTATTAATGTTTGAAGTTAACCAAATTTACCACGATTTTTCTCTGGTTTTTGATCATAAATATGAAAATTTCAGACATGGAATCTTTAAAACAATGTTTTAAGATTTCAACAATCCTTACAGCATACCAGCAAACCGAATACCAAAAAAGTTATAAGCAATTTTTAATGAAGGTGCAACTGTCAAAATTTTACGAAAAAAATTATTAACTCGAAAACTATTAAGTTTAACAGAAAATTAGCTGTATTTATTATAAATAAAAAAGTCTCAAATAAATATTTATTAATTATTAACCCTAATATTTCTTTCAGTGTATCAGCGATTTCATAACAAGTCATGAAAGAAAAAATTAATTGTGCGTCATAGAAACCTAAAAAACATGCGTATAAACCAACATTGGACTAGAAAAGCGTTAAAAATATTATGGGGCCTTAGGACTAGTAGGCATGATATACGTCCTATAATAGAATTATTCCTTCACTATATCAGGCAGGAACAAATATTATTCGACAACTTATGGGAATATGTGCGAATATTGTTGGGATGATGAAAGCTACGAACTAAAAAATTTTAGCATATATAAATGTGTAACTACTAACAGACATGAAATAGAGTTTGAGGACCTATTAAATGCAATTCTTAGCGAGCAAAACTGGTGCAATTTTTGCACTAGGCGAGTGATATTCTTTATTAACCGCGCAAGTATATGCCATATGTATTCCGAATATATTCCGAACATTGAGA